CACTTGACTGCTAACCAGAAGGCTGACAGTTCAAACCCACCAGCCACTCCTCGGAAGGAAGATGGGGCAATCTACTTCCATAGTGATACTGCCTCAGCAACTCAAGGAGGGGTCGCTATGAGTTGGGTCCGACTTGACGACACATAACAACAACAACACAACAAAAACAGAACAAAAACCAAAACCAAAACCTGTTGCTCTCAAGTTCATTCTGACGCATGGTAACCCCATTGTCACAGCAGAAATGCACTCCACAGAGTCTTCATGGCTGTGACCTTTTGGGAACAGATCACCAGACCTTTCTTCTAAGGTGTCTCTGGGTGGTTCCAAACTCAGTAAGTAGCTGGCACTGAAGCTTTTATGCCAATCAGAGACTCCTCTCCTCTAAACAGGGTATTCTAAAAGGTGCCCCAATGCCATTTTTTGACAGTGTTGGTCTGTGATAAAGTTTCCACCAGGCAAAATAAGAAAAATAAGGACAATGTAGTGAACTCATCATAAAATCCTGTTTAGTATCAAGGACTGTACTTGACTCTGAGATCAGGTCCTGTCCGATTTTGTGTGTGTTATATTGTCCCTTCTGTTACGAAATGATGGGGATAGAATACGGGAGTCCAGGCAAACCTGTCAGTCCCCAAAGTAAACTTCCAGAGTCTGGTGCCCACTGTTCTGAGCATGAATTCAAATCATCAAACAAACAAACAAACAAACAAAAAACCCACACTGCTGTCCAGCCAAACTCAACTCATAGTAACTCTACAGGACAGAATAGAACTGCCCCGTAGGGTTTCTTAGGCTGTAATCTTTGATGGAAGCAATCTTTCACAGTAGCAGCCTCCACAGAGTGGCTGGTGGGTTTGAACTGCCAACCTTTAGTTAGCAGCCAAGCATTTAATCACTGCATCACCAGGGCTCCTCAGAAAGAGAATAAGAACAAGGATACTCACTTGATGAGCAGGCCTTCTCAAGTTCTTTAATCCGTGCTCGAAGTTCAGCTAAGGCCTTTTTCTGACGTTGAATGACTTCTTCATGTCGGGACCCTTTACATCTGGCTCCCAGGTCACTGAAGGATTGCTCCTGTGGATGGAATGATCCAGATGCCAGCTTTATTAAGGAATAGGTTATTGCTCTCATATTTGAAGAAGCAGGAACATTTATATATAGCAGAAACCTTTGAAAGTATAAGAGTGATCAGCAGAGAAAGAACTTAAATTTCATCTCAAATATAATGTTGTACTCGGGAAGATTTCCAACTTTCCTGCTGACTTACCATCACTGTAAATAAAAGATTCCTGCTATGTCTTCACTCCATGTTTCATTTATTTTTCTTCTGAAGTTCTAAACCTGGGTTTCCTTAGTTGTCATTCTGAAGAATCCTATCAAACTGTACTCCAGAAAGGGCATTTGTGGATAGAAACACACAGCACTTTCTCCTAACCAGTAATAAGGGTGGTCACCTAATATTTTCTAGGGAAATTTGATAGACTGGCTCCTGGTTCGTCTAGAGAAAGGAAAGCCACAGAGAGTTTTGGAGCCCCTAGAATAGCCGTGTCCAATAGAACTTTCTGCAGTGATGGAAGTGCTCCTTATCTGTGTCATCCAATATGGCAGCTACTAGCTACATGTGGGAGCTCTGGTGGCATAGTGCCTAAGGCATTTGACTGCTAACCAGAAGGCTGGTGGTTCAAACCCACCAGCCACTCCTTGGAAGGAAGATTTGGCAATCTAATTCCATTGAGATACCACCTTGGAAAACCAAGGAGGGGTTGCTATGAGTTTGAAGTGTGACTAGAGAAAATGAGGAATTAGATTTTTAGTTTTATTTAATTAGTTTAAATTTAAATAGCCACATGTGGGTATTGGCTACCATATTGGACAGCATGGGGCTAGATTTGGGTTTATGAAGAACACAGACAAGGAAACGGCTGCTTTATCTTTTAAGGGTCATGCACCTTATTGAGATTCAGAAGTATGAAGGAATTCTTCCTCCAGAAAAATTGTCTCTCTCTCTCTTTGTCACACACACACACACCGTTGCATCCTCTATAGAAGAAAGATGGGACGGTCTGCTTCTGTAAAGCTTTACAGCTTTGGCAACCCAGTGGGGGTCATTGTGAGTTGGAATCAACTCAGTGGCAGTGAGTTTGGTTTTTGATGGTAAACTGTTTATTTATTCACTCATTCATTCATTTCACAAATATTTTTATTAAGCAGCCAAGAGAAAGAAGTGCTCTGCTTCTGGCTGCACTTAGTAGGACCTCACTTCACTTTAGGCCCTGGCACCAGCCTGTTTTCAGACTGCACAGTCAAGTTGGCTTCCTGGGGAGATTCTATGCTGGCCTCCCTCATCTCTTTGGAGGTGTTTGTTTGCTCTGGGAATAAGTTATCTGAAGTGTGTGTGTGTGTGCACGTGCATGTGTGTGGGGGGGCCTTGTGTATGTGTGTTTGTCAAAGTGTGAGGAAGTGGGCAGGAGCTCCTGAGTTTTGGGTAGTTGGGACAGCAATAGCAGGGTGACAGCCTTTAACTTTGCTGAAGAGTATGCCTGAGCTCAATATGACCCTTACTCATGACAGCTCTGGGATTTATTTATTTAGAGAAGATGGAGATTCTTTCTCATACAACTCTTAAGCCCTCTGACCCACCCTGGCTTAGAAAGCAGGAAGTGGCCTGAATATGGAAAACCGTTCTGAGAAGGAACAAATCCTTTTTCTTTTCCTTTTATCTTGCAGCGTCCCTCCCCCATCTTCCTTGACTAATCCCGCCTCATCATAGAAATGAAGAATCACAGCTTCCCAGTTCAACAATCCATTGCAACCAATGTGTGCAGAGTTTGAAGGAGACTGGTGTACGCAGGGATCCTGTGTGACTTTCCCTGTACCCAGCAAAAAAAACCAAGCCAATAGCTGTCAAGTTGATTCTGATTCATGGCAATCCCACATGTTTCAGAATAAAACTGTGCTCCATAAGGTTTTCATGGGTGTTACCTCTCAGAAGCAGATTGCCAGGCCTTTCTTCCAAGGCATCTCTGGGAGGATTTTGGTTAGTAGCTAAGTGCTTAACCATTCGCACCACCCTGGGACTCCAGGGCCTATACACAACAGACATACGATACTTGTTGAATGAGTGAATGAATACAGGTCAGGTCCTGTGCTAAGAGTTTCAGATTCCAACAAGAGTGACCCAGGCTCCCTGCCCTATGTAGCTTCTGGTCTATGGACTCCCTGTTGTTGCTACTCTCCTGGTTGCCCTGGCAACAAGGAGACACTTCTGTTACAGTGCCCTGGACAGTGATCGGTGCCAAAGACAGCTGACTGGACCATGGAGCCCTTTCTTTCAAGCTGTTCTGAGGCCCTGGCTCTCTGCTGTCTGGCAGGGGAAAGGCATCTTTGAGAAAGCAGGAAGGCAAGCTGACACATTTGGCTCTGTTTCCAACTGAAAATCCAAAGCCTATTACTGAAATGCCCTGCTCTCGCATTTCATAAAGCTTTTATATTTACCCAACAAGGGGAAAAGGATATCCCTGGACTCGAGGAAAACTGGGCCCTTGAACCACCACACTCCACAATTAGCCTAATACTAATGATCAAGAGTATCACAGCCTCAGCCACAGGGGAAGGATGCCAGCTTCAAGGGCCACATTCCCTGTTTGATGTGCAACAGGGACTTCCAGGTATACAAAGGTTTCTGGGCAGGTGCACAGAGAGAAATCACCATGAAGCAGCACAGCCCTTTGGGAAGGTGGTTTGTCTGTATCAAGCACAACTTAGGATGTCCTCTGGACCTAGTCATTTCACATTTAGGAACATGTTCTATCTATGCACAAAGATATTAACTACAGCAGCATCATGCAAAAGTAGAAACAATCTAAATGTCCATCAACAGGGGGCTGACTGGGTGAACAGGACACAACGGAATTCTATGGAGCCATTTAAAATAATGAAGTAGATCTTTCTACATTGCCTTAACAAGGTGCCCATTAAATAGTGTTAAGTGATAATTTTTTTTTTTTTGCAGAATATATATGGTTTAATACCATTATTTTTTGTATAACTTTATCTATTAAATTCTTGTTGCTGTTATTGTTATGTGCCGCTGAGTCAGCCCCGACTCATAGTGACCTCTCCTTGGGTTCTGAGGCAGTATCACTACAGAAGTAGATTGCCCAATTTTCCTTCCGAGATCTATTAAATAAATATATGTGTATATATATTTTTTGTGGGTGTGTGCATCTAAATAAAACTTATTTCTCAATAATCCCATGAAGTGAGGACTGTCATTACACCCACTTTTCAGACAGGAAACTGACACACAGTAACTACTCCAGGGTCACAGAGTTTTTAAGTGGTAGAGTCAGGGTTCAAACCCAGGTAGGCTGACTCTAAGCCTGATCCTTCAACCATTGTACGTTTGTGGTTGTGTGTGCACGTGGTGATCTCTGCATGGAGAAGGTCTGATGGGACATGTGAAACTATTCATGGCTGTAACCTCTGGTGACTGCAAGGGGAGAGGTGGGACTTTCACTTTTTATATCTCATATAATCAAACAATACTTTTGGAATTGAAAATAAAACTGTTTCTAAACTAGGAAAGAAAGCCACCATGGGGCTCTTTCTTCATGTGTCCTTCCAGGTGCCCAGAACTGAGTGAACACTCACCTCCTGGCTGCTGAAGACAGTATCTGTGTGGCTTTGTTCTATCTGCACCGAGATGTCGCACATCTGGGCCGTATTCCTGGGCTTCTGGCTCTTCTCCATGCTCAGCTGGACTTTGTTTTTCTCTTGGGAAGCCCTAGGGCAAAGAAGAGGAGTCACTGGGCAACAGGACACCAACAGCACAAGGTTCTGGAATCACAAATTACCTTTGTTCCACTGGCAAAACCAGGGAGGGAGCTCCATTTCTGTAGGTAATTCTGTAGGTAATTTCTGTAGGTGATTCTTAGTGTTTTCCAGTGTCCTGCACCAGATTTCTAGAGAGTTTGGTTTCCAAGGACTTAGAGGACATTAAGGCACACTGGCGGTGCAATGGTTAAGCAAGTGCTTGCTGCTAACTGAAAGGTTGGTGGTTGAAACCCATGCAGGGGCTCTTTGGAAGAAGGACTTGGCAATCTACTCCCATAAAGATTACTCACTACCATCGAGTCGGATCCGACTCACAGCGACCCCTCCTTGGGTTTCTGAGGCAGTATCACTATGGAAGTAGATTGCCCAATCATCCTGCCAAGGAGTAGCTGGTGGGTTTGAACTGCCTGCTTTCTGGTTAGCAGTTAAATGCTTTATGGATTATGCCAGCAGAGCTCCTCCATAAAGATCACAGCCCACAAAACCCTATAGGAAAACTTTGCTCTGTCACATGGGGTCACTATAAGTCATAAATAAATAAATAAACTCAGCAGCACCTACAACAACTACAACAGAGAATAGTGGCCAGACCTGCAGGCACCAACCCTCGCTTCCTCTCCTGGGGTTGCAGGGCACCTGTCAGAGCATATACTAAGGCATTTGATGTGCATCCACTAATTCTAACACTTTATGTTAAATCCTCTATTTCTCATAATAATCCCATCAGCTGGGGACTCTCCTTGACCCATTTTACAGACAGAGAAAGAGATACACTACAATATGCCCAGGGTCACAGAGCTTGGACATGGAGGAGTCCGGCTTTGAACACAGGCAGTCTGGATTTGCAGACTATTCCTTTAACTGTTCTGTGAATCTGCCTTGGCCCTGGCCACAAGAGCCACAAAGCTACAGGATATACAAGAAACATCAAGTGTACTCAAATATTACTCTTACGTTACAATATGGAAAAGCTATGGGCAAAATGCAAAGTCATATATATTTCTTAGACACGGGCCAACAATGGCATTTTATACTTATTTTAAGCTGATCTCTGACATTCCTAGTTTGTTCATTTCAATCAGTAAAGAGTTCATTTTCAATAAATATTTATTAAGTTCCCTTTATGTGCCAGGCCCTGTGCCAGTGCTGGTGAGTCAGTAATTCATGAGGTCAGTATGGACCCAGTTCTCACGGGGGGAGCAGATGATTGAACAGGCAATAATAACAATGCCATGTGATGAGTGTTGGGTTAGACACAGTGCAGGGACTGAGGCACCTCAGGTGGAGCAGGAGCCCTTGGCCACATTTGGTGAGGGAGGGCTGCCCAGAGGAAGTACCATTTAAACTGAGATGTGTGATCTGGAATATTGGAAAGGAGTGTTTGAGAAACACAGAACTAAGCAAAGCCCTTTTTGATTGATGAAGCTGTGAAGCAATGAAACACAACATATTCATTCATTCATTCATTCACCTGCCCACCCAGCATTGACTAAGCCCCTCTCTGCGTGAGTTTCCCTAGGCATTTGGGTGTGCCTGGGCTGCCAAGCCATGAGGACCTTCACACACCTTAGTGCCTCCTTAAGGATCTCCAGCTCCCTGTCCTTCTTCTCCATCAGGGCGGTCATCTGCACCATCTTCTCCTTGAGCACACTCAGCTCGCTGCTCTGTTGCTGGACCAGCATCACGTTCCGCTCCAGTTCCATCTTCTGCTTCTCACTGAGCTCCCCTGGGAGTGACATGAAAGCTTGTGAGGGGGTCTCCTGCTCTCCAGATCTACCAGGCCTATAAGAACCAGGAGGCAGGTCTGCCCTCTGGGCATTCTCAGGGGATCCAGTAACAGCCAGGAGGTCTGCTTGTGCCTTTGCTAACAACAGCAACATAACTCACGATAATTGCATTTTCATGAGTAGTGACTCTGGGAGGCGCTGTGCACTCCTGCCTTACACGCTGTAGCAGATGCTTTCAAGCCTGGCCTGTGTCCCTTTGGTATTTTGGGGGCATCCTCAGGCCTCTGGAGCCTGCTCTGCACATGTGCCTGCCAGATGCAACAACCTCCAACCAATGGCTGATGGAAATTAATAAACACATCCCCAGGTCCCTCGCCTCCCAGGTACATGTTCTACACTGTTCCTCAGCATTCCCCAGCAGAATTAAACCCCAGTGGCCCACTGGGGCAACCTGACTGACAACAAGCCTTTTATTCACTTTCTTCCCTTTCCTGTCTCACTTCTTCACTCCTGTGTTTCCTGGACTCACCTCTCCAATAAACTGCCTGCACTGAAATTTTACTCTTAGGGGCTTCTTCTGGGGAAACCCAAAGAAAGACTGCATTACCTGGAATCATCTCTCCAGGGTAGTTACTATTAACACCCCACTTTACAGATATAGAAACTGAGGCTCAAAGAGGTAACGTGACTTGCCTAAGTTCATGCAAATAACAAATAGCAGATCCTACATTGGGTCCAGTGTCTCCTGACTCTAGAAACAGAAAGTGTAGCCTCTGTGCTATATATTTTCATACACTTAGTATGGGAAAATCATTCTTTGAAAAATTCAGCCATAAATTCCTTGAAGGTATTGATAGGAATATCCATATGGAGAAAATATCCCTTCAGGTTTTAGGATGCACAGGCTTTGAGATGGGGACAAGACAAAAGAGCCTTCTTCACCCTTCCCCCACCTTCCTAAACCTAGTTATATCTCTCGATGCCTGCCTATACATTTGGGTTTGATGGAATCTAGGCATAGGAGAGAGAAGATGGCAATAAGAAGCAAGAAGGGAGGCAGAAATAAAAGAGAAGACCAACGTGGGAACATTCAGCCAGAGTTCTGTATGTCCATCTAGAAGAGAGAACTCAGAGTTATTTTACCTTGACTCTAGGTGGCCCTGATGGTCACACCAACTCTAAGAAGTAGGTGGTGTTGTCTTCATTTTACATCAGAGGAAGGGGAAGTCTGGAGGGCCACCTTGCCCTTGGTCCCAAAGCTAGTGATGCTAGGCTTGTGTAGGCTGGTCTGCCCAGGTGGCCTGGGGTGCCCTCCACACCTTTGCTTCCAGAGGCAAGTCCTTGGGAGTAAAAGAGGTTCTCCCTACAAAGCAAAGCTTCATCTCCAGTTCTCTGGGAACTGCCTTGATGACCCCTTGGCCTTGGTGAGTTGCTGACCCTGAATGACAAGTGCTGTCACTACACTAGAAAGCAGGTCGACCAGGATTTTGAGTGCCAGTGTTTCCAACTCTGAAGCTTCCTTTCTTTCCTCTCCTGAAGAAGTGGGTCAGGATGTGAAGAGACACAAAAATGGCACCAACCTCTCAAATCTGACATTCGGCCATGGGCTTCAGTAAGGTCTTTCCTCAACCTCATAATGACTTCTTGCTGGGACAGGATTTCCTTCTGAGCAGTCAATAAATCTTCTCTGAAATGCACAAAAACAGGCAAAGTCAGTTTAACTTCATCTTCATGATTTTTCTGAGTGTGTAGATGGGGCCAAATATAAATCCAACAGAACCTCAGCGATGGCTCATGTGAACCAGTCTCAGCAAAGGGGATGAGAACAGTCTTTAAAAATTCCCAAAGCAAATTCATGTTGGTGTACCTTCAGCTAATGCACTCAGCTACTGATAGAAAGGTTGGAGGTTCATGTCCAACCAGAGGTGGCTTGGGAGAAAGGCTTGGAGACGTACTTAAAATCAGCCACTGAAAACCCTGTGAAGCACAGTTCTGCTCTGACAGACACACGGGTGACCATGAGTAGGAATTGACTCAACAGCAACTGATCATTTAAAAAATACATCAAGATGGAACAAAAGATTCTGAGTGAGTTCAGTCCAAGGTTGACATATGACTTGTATGAGGGTGATACCCCTAACTGCTCAGGCATCACAGACATGAATGGATATGCTTGTGGGCTTTTTTGCTTTTTGGCTGAAAGAGGAGGAAGACTATTTTTTCATTGTTCAGAAATCTTTTGAGGATGAGGAAGAAGAGAGAAGAGGACAGCATGTCTTCCATTCTTTTACCAGCCAAAGGCAGTTACCATTGCATTGACTCCAATGCCATGGTGGACTTGAACCTTCAACCTTTCAGGTAGCACCTGAGTGTGTTAACTGTTTGCACTACTCAGGGACTCTGTTCTCTCACTGTCTTGTTAGAATTCCCGAATGAGAGAGGGGGAACCAGAAGGCAAAAGAACAGTGCTCATGAAGTCTTGGTGGAAGTGTGGGCTTTGCAGCCTAGATAACCAAGTGCAACACAGGGGCTTCTTCTTCCACCACCCATCATGCCTCAGAAAGCAGGACACCGTTGGCCCTGTGAAGCTCAGGGTAGGGGACAGGGAGGATGGCTGTGTCCAGTGGAGGAGTGGTCCATGGGAAGGGGGTCCCACAGTAATGGCAGAGGGAGGCATCTGCATGGAAGTTAAATTGGAAGAACATGGGGATTCAGTTCTGAGCAAGTCTGAGAAATCTTGGCCCTGGAAAGACATTTTTTGTGTGTGTTTGTGTTGAGGGAGGAAGAACTGGATATTGCTTATGCAGAAGAGGGTGAAGGCTTTTGGCATATGTTAATGTCACTCCATTTGAGTCCATAGGCTTTTAAAATCCAGCATTTGAGGGCCAAGTGTGTATTAATTAGGAAATAAAGCAAAATATTGGTGGGTTCTATCTCAAAAGAAAATATTGGTGTAACCTAAATGGAAATAATATGTGTGTGTGTGTGTGTGTGTGTATCTATGTTCATCTATCTATCTATCTAATCTTTTTGGCTATAATTCTTACAACTTGAGGATGAAATTTTAGAACTCAAATGTTTATACAAGGCAAGAGACCAGAGATCAATGTGGGTGCTAACTCTTCTCCAAGTCACAGATGCTATGTCTTTAGAGAGCTCTTCTACCAGGAGAACAAGTCAGTTGGAAATTTTTCAAAATATGGAATGAAATGGAGGCTGATATCTTTGCCTTTTGGGGGTAAAACACCTGTGGTAACTGGAGTTTAATGCAAGGATCAGGCTGGTGGTTTTTCTTCTTCAAGAAACTTTCTGAGTACTTCTTTGTGTTGCATCAGTGTCTTCTTGTTCATATGCTGCTTTGCAATGGTTTTCTGGATCTTTCCCAACCATAGGTTTTGTCTCTATAAAAATCATCAATTCCTTGAGGCTCAAGTTATAGATTTATCAACTCTCAGGATTGGGAGGGGCCTTAAAGGTCATTTAGTCCAACCCCTTACCTGATGCTCGAGTCTCCTTTCCAGGACCTCATGCTCCAGTGTTTGAACCCACCTCCTGTTTACAATGCCTAGGAAGGGGCTTGCCTGTTGCAGGTACTTAGGAATAATAGCAATAATAGTAATAGCTAACGTTTACCCAGTGTCTTCTGTGTGCCAGGCATATATGTCTGAACACTCCCATTTTGCAAATGAGGAATCTAAGGCTCAGAGAGGTGATTGTGACTTGCCTAAGGCCACACAACCAGAAAGTGTTGGAGTTGGGATTTGAATGTAGATCTACCCAGATCCTTCCTGACTTGCTAAAGGAATCGAGAAATTTAAGCAACAGTGAGAAGACCCCAAACTCAACCCCTTCTTTCATGTTCTGAAGATATGGCCCACAGTAAGGATTTTGGTTTGTATGTTTTTGCTTATTTGGCAAAGTGGTGAGGATGTTCCAATGCTTACACACCCTTCAGTGTACTCACATCAAGTGGTTGCACACGTCCTCTTTGGGATTGCTCTTCAATGGAGGTGCCGCGGGAGGGTCTGGCTGAATTTCTTCCCTTTGACCTATGCCAAAGAGGTATCCAAGTGTTAATATGGTCCTCACACAGCTGATGCTGTTCTTCCCTTTGATTATAAGCATGCTTGAGTGTCTTGCAACTTATAAACCTACCCTGCACCCTGCAGCCCACTCCACCATGAGATCCAACACACATTCTGTGCCATAGGTTGGTGGCTTTCCCCGAGTATGAGGGTTATGCAAAATTTCCAGCATTAACTCTATTTACAGGTGGGGAAATGGGCGCAGGAGTGAGGCACCTTCTGGGGACCACCCAACTAAACTGGTGAGAGGTGGAGCCACGGTTCAGACGCAGGTCCCCCTGGCCCATGTCCCTCGCCTTAACCACGGGGTAACAATGTTTGCCCTTCTTTCACTTTTCCATCCAGACAGGAGTCTTGAAAGAACACTCTATGCTCAGTTCTTTCCTGTCCCCACCTCCTGCTCACTCATGATTCCACTATCTTCTGGTTTCTATCCTCACTACTCAGTCACATGTTCACTCATTTATTCATTCAACAAACATAGAATTCTCTTGCTTTATGGCAAACACTGATCTAAGCACTGGGTGACAAAGCTGCCCTTCAGGTCCCAGCTTAAGTGTTCTCCTTCTGACCCTGAGTTAAAAAACTGAGAGTGCCTTTGTCATGGTGCCCTGTCCATCCTGTTATCACACAGATCACCTGTCAGGGCAATAATTTAGTTAACTGTAGGAACCATGCCTGGCTTGTCCATCACAGAAACCTCAGTGGCTAGCATGAGCTTGGAACATACTAGATGCTCAGTTAAAAGTGTGCAATGAGTGAATGACTGAATTAATGAATGCATGAGTTAAGTCCTAACAGCTCACCAACTGGGCTCAAGACTAGGGTTATGGGTCTCAACTAGGGGTGAACTTGCCCCCAGGGGACATTTGACAATGTCTAGAGACATTTTGATTGTCCCAACTAGCAGGTGGTATTGGTATCTAGTAGACAGAGGCCAAGGATACTGCTAAACATCCGATAGTGCACAGGGTGGCCCTGTAACAAAGAATTATCAGGACAAAACTGTCAATAGTGCTGACGACCCTAGGGCTTTTGCATCCAGAACTCTTTCCCAAGAGCTCGTATCTTTTCAATAAAATGCATCGTCTTGGCCATTTAGGGTGAATAAGTGCTTGCAACCCTGAGCTCTTTTTTCAGCTCCTTTGTGTATAATTTTTGAGATACAAATCATGGCTGGTTATGAAGGTGCATTAGTCAAAGTTACAAATTGCTGATGGCACAGAGGGGCCTTTGAAAGCCCCCAGCATGGGGAGTTTTCATGCGGAAAAGATGACTCCATTCCATTCTGCTCTTTGTGCCCTTAAAAGCCCTGGCAGCCTACACATCTTGCTGGCTCACTGGGTTGGCACAAAGCACAGCTCGAGTTATTACTTCTGTTTAAACTGGGCCTGAGAGGGCATCTAACACTGTTGTATAACAAGAAGGTAAAGGGGCCTCCTTTTAAACGAGGTAGGGCCTTTATCTTATCCATCCCCTATTAGACAAGGAGAACCTCACTAAGATCTCCTGAGTCTCTTGGGGCCTACCTGGGTCACTGTCCTTCAAAGCTGCGATCTCATTTTCTATTTTTTTATGGTGTTGAGTCACTTTTTGGAGTCTTTCCTCGAGACTCACGATTGTCTGGGAGTGCTGTTTGATTTGCTCCTTGTATTCCGCGATTTCCTTCTCAAATCCATGTTTCTGTGACTCCCGCTCATCCTGCTGAGCTGTTATTGTCTGCTGTTGCAGCAATATTCGCTCCTCCATCATGATCTGAGAAAACAGGAAAAGGGATTAATGTGATCTCGGGAGCTAGATGGATGACAATAACAATAACACAATTATAGAATTTTCATTTAGAAGGAATAAAGCCAGATGCTCCTTAGAAGAGAGGATGGTGAAACTTTGATTCGTTTACTTTGAACACGTCATTAGGAAAGATTGTATTTGGTTAAGGAGAGGGTCGGTGAAAATGAAGAACACTCGCCATGAGATGGACTGACACAATAGCTGCAACTCTGTACTCAGACGTACCAAAGATATCGACGACAGTGTTGAATCAGGTAACATTTTGTTCTGTTATTCACAAGGTTGCCAGGAGTTGGAGCTAATTTGAGGGCAACTAACAAAAACAAGTTCTGGTCTCTCCCACCGCAGGGCCTTTGCACATGCTATTCCCACTGCCTGGCATACTTTCCCCTAGATCTTCACTCCTTCTCATTCTCCAGGTCTCAGATCTGATGTCACTTCCTCAGAGAGGCCCTCCCTATGGCATTCTGAAGGAGAAGCCTGAGACATCTTCTATTCCATTATCTTATTTTGTTTCCTCTGAGGTGCTTACCACCATCTGAAATTATCTGGTTTCTTTATTTCCCACTCCCACGAGAACATAAGCTCCATAAGAGTAGAGACTTATCTTTCTCATTTACCATCACACCCACAGCACCTAGAGTAGTGCCTCAGTGTCTTGGTCTACATGCGCAATGAACAATTGTTGAATTAATTAATGAACAATTTAATAAGAAAAAAACAAATGAATTCGTATTTCTTAAAAACAGATATCACCAAACAGTCCCAAATGGTGAAATCTCAGATTCTGTGCCATGACCACCCTCTCCTTCCCCAGGCTCTTCTTGGTGTTTCTGTCTCAGTATCTCATGCTGGCTACCCACCTGCTGCTCTGGCAATGCCCTTTCTGGCTTCCTTGATGCCATACTCCTGTCTCCACTCCCCCTTGATGTGTTGGGCCTCAGTCTCTGATCTTCTCCTGATGGGTAAATCCTTTGCCTAAGAGCTCACTCTTGCCCATGGTTTCATCAATCATGCCTACAGAGCTGTCACCCAAATTTAGAACTCTTCTCTTGCTTTCTTTTTCAAACCTATTGTACCTCCAAAAGTTTGGGAACTTTAGACACCTTGGTTTGAACTCATCTTCTCCAAAAAATAACCCATGCCCTGACCTCCACATTCCCACCTATAATTCCACCCATATTTCCATCCAGATGTCCTCATCTCCCTGGTGAAGCCTGTCAGCCTCCTTTGGCACTGCCCTTTCCTTGGTACTCAGGTCCTGTGAGTCAGTGATTAAGTCTTGCCATTTCTCTTGCAATTATAGGCATACCTTGGAGATATTGCAGGTTGGGCTCCAGACCACTGCAATAAAGTGAATATCACAATAACATGAGTCACACAAATTTTTTGGTTTCCCAGTGCACATAAAAAGGAGCTCTGGTGGTGCAGTGCCTAAGGCATTTGACTGCTAACCAGAAAGTTAGTGGTTCAAACTCACCAGCTGCTCTGTGGAAGGAAGATGGGGAAATCTACTTCCATAAAGATTTACCACCTTGGAAACCCAATGGGGGTCATTATGAGTCAGAATTGACTTGATGGCAGTGAGTTTTTTGGTTTTAGTGCATATAAAAGTTAAGTTTCACTATACTGTAGTCTATTAAGTGTGCAAAAAGTTTATTATAAAAAAGTTTGCAATATTGTGGGAATTACCAAAATATGACACAGAGACATGAAGTGAGCACACACTGTTGGAGAAATGGCACCAATTCACTCCATGCAGACTTGGCACAAACCTTCAATTTGTAAAAAAACACAGTATCTACAAAGTGCAATAAAGCAGAGTGCAGTGTAAGGAGGTATGCCTATATCTCTACAGAGGTTCCTTCCTCTGTACTCCTCTGCTCTCTCCAGGAGTCCAAGACCTGATGTTTCTGGACTGCAGCAATGACCACCACATGCTATGCCCCAAGCTGGTCTTTCCAACTCCACTCCCTCTCAGATTTCCTTAGTGCCTTTCTGGTATCTTAATTCCTCTTACTTCCTTACCCACAAACCTGCAAGTTGAATGCATGGATGACAGGATGAATGCAGCATCAGGCCCTGGTTGTGGAGGACTTTGAATGCCAAGCTAAAGTTCTTTTTTCCTCCTTCTTCCCTCTCCCTGAACTAAAGTTTTAAAATATTATCTTAAAGTCTTCAGACCTGGGTTTGGGAACTCTGGGCTTCCCACTCATCGACCTCATCTATACCCACTGATCACTAAATTTCAGGGCTCCTTTGTCCTTCTCCTCCATCTTGTGAGGACCCTGCATTACAACACCTTAGAATACCCTGGAGAGAGGGCACCTCTGTCTTTCACACCAACCAATGTTTCTCAATAAGCGATTTTGCTCCCCAAGGGACATTTGGCAGTGTCTGGAGACATTTTTGGTTGTCACAACTAGGGGCTGAGAGTGCTACCAGTATTTAGTGGATAGAGGCCTCAGATGCTGTTAAACATCCTACAGTGTACAGGAGATTCCCCTACAACAAAGACTTATCTGGCCAGAAGGTCAGGTTGAGAAACCTTGGTCTGAGTTAAGCATTCTCACGCTATCGTCATCTTGCAACAAGAGGACACTTTTCCAGTCCCAGGAAGGCACCACTTACCATCTTGGTCTTGGTAGTTTCCAGTTCAGCTAATGTCTCATTTACTTTGATTGTGAGGCTGTCTACTTTCAGACTTTCAGCCACCTTGGCTTTCTGTGTCTCTTCTACCATGGCCAGGGCATCATTTAACTTATTATTTAAAATGTTCTCTTTTTGTGCTTTTAATTCTATTTCCTAAACAGACAACAAACACTGAATTAGCAAGAACACAGGGATAAACATCTACCCCACACCCTCCCTCTCTGAGTGGAGGTGAAATGCTGTTTCTATACTGACGATCCTACTTAAGTGCAAAGTCCAAGCTTTTTCTGGAAGGTTCCGATGATTATAGAGCACTTCTTTATACTCAGCTGAAACCTGTCTTCTTGTGATTTCTGGCCTCTGAACTCAGTTCTGTCACCTCACTGAGTAAGTTTTATTTCTTTTTTTATGAGACAGTCCTTTAAATATTTGAGAAGGGCTGTCATGTCTCTCACTAAATCTATTTTCCAGGATGAATGTGCCCAGTTGCTCAACTCTTCATCACAGAATTTGCCTTCTGGACACTCCTCCTGCACCTTCCTCTGTAGCTTCCACACTGGAATCACCTCCCTCTCCAGCCTGATGGATTCCAGCGGCCTTATCTTTGCACAGCTTGCTCTTTCTCCTGGAACTCATTCTTCCAATGAAGAATTAGAAGTCAATTCTTGAGTGTCAAAAGTCCAATCTCCTCCTTGAGTCCCTTCTAAAATAATGGTGTCCAGGCTTCATGCAGACACTGGGCAGAGGGATTTAAAAACCCTATTTAATCCAATTTTAAATGTATTATTGGCACGAGGGCACTGTCAGACTCTGTTGCTGGCAGTGCAAACTGGTATGACCTTTATGAAGGGTCATTTGGGAACGTGTATCATGACTCTAACGCGGACCAGTGGTGGCTCAGGGGTAGACTTCTCACTCTCCACGTAGGAGACTGAGTTCGGTTTCTGGCCGATGTACCTTGTACACAGCCACCACCCATCTGTTGGTGGAGGCCTGTGTGTTCCTATCATGCTGAATAGGGTTCACTGGAGCTTCCAGACTAAGATGGACTAGGAAGAGTCTTGACAAGCTGCTTTTGATTATCAGCTAATGAAAACTCTATGAATCACAGTGGTTTGCGTGCAGCCCATCATGGGTGTGGCTGGGACAGGGCAGTGTTTCATTCCATTGTGCATGAGGTCACCATGAGTTTGGGTCCAACTCAACAGCAGCTAACGACCAACAACAATCATAATTCTTGAACATATATCAGGGGCATCCCATGACTCAGCAATCCCACCCCTAGGGATTTATCCTGAGGACGTACCCAAACCTGGCACCAAGACTGATGCACAGAGTTGTGTAGCTAAGCACTGTCTCTACTAGGGAAAAGTTAGAAAAGCCCCAGTGCCCAGTCACAGAGGAGGTATAAAATAAATGGGGGTCCCTCCAACAGCATGATAAGAACACACAGGCCTCCACTAACAGATGGGTGGTGACTGTGTAGGAGGTACATCGGCCAGAAACTGAACTCAGTCTCCTATGTGGAGAGTGAGAAGTCTACCCCTGAGCCACCACTGGTCCACGTTAGAGTCATGATACACGTTCCCAAATGACCCTTCATAAAGGTCATACCAGTTTGCACTGCCAGCAACAGAGTCTGACAGTGCCCTCATGCCAATAATACATTTAAATAAATGGGGGAAAACCCAGGTCATCCTTATATGGCAGGTCATGGAAGAATATTCAATGAATTGGACACTTATAAATACTGTGACATAGGGACTTTTTATAATACATTGAGTTTAGAACTCATGTTCCCAAGTCCTGTGTCCACTATAAAAGCATAAATCACTACCTTTGCAACAAATCAATAGTTACTGATATTTATAATAATGATTGGGAGCTCTGGTAGCATAGTGGCTAAGGCACTTGACTGCTAACCAGAAAGCTGGCAGTTCAAACCCACCAGCCACTCCTCAGAAGGAGGATGGGGCAATCTACTTCCGTAGTGATACTGCCTCCGAAACCCAAGGAAGGGTCACCATGAGTCGGTTCGACTGGACGGCACATAACAACAACAACAACAACAACAACAACAACATAATAATGATTAACCTAAAGTGGTCCTGGAAGGAATCACATCAAAATGTCAATTGTGGTCACTCTGCTAGGTGGAATCATATGGGTAGTTTTTATTTTCTTTTGAGGGATCTTCTGTGCTTTTCAAATTCTCCACGAAAAACAGTACACCTGTTTCTATAATAATAGTAAAATAAAACTGATGATTTACGAAAAAGTACAATAAAAATATTTTCATCCTGCTCTTCCTGGGAATCCTTAAACTTCTTTGTACCTCCCTTGAACTCCATCTGATTCTTTTTTTGGTCTTAACATTGTTATTAGTGTGGAGAAATCCTAATGAGATCATGTGCAGAGCTGGCCTAAGGAGATGCTCATTAGCAACACTGGCAGGCATCCCACAGAGCAACATGTCACATACACTTCACAGTGAGATGTCCCAACATTCCCAGAGAAACCCCAGCAAACTGACATTGTCTCTCTGATGGGCTGTGCAGCTGCCCAAGGACAGAGCTTGTTGCCTGGCATCTTAACGCCTTGCTGGCTACTCAGCTGCTTACTTAAGGACAGGAGACCAAAGTTCACTGTTCCCATCAGCCTGAAACTCTTTTTCTATGCTCCCTCGCTCCTCTTTCTCTTGTTTAGATTGGACTTTTGCCTGTGTAGATAAAATCAATGTCAATATTGTCCTTCTGTATATATAAGAAAAATAATATGCAAATAAGCAACTCACATCTGAGCTGCTCTTTGAGCTTGCATCCCTCTGGTCCTTCCTGGTACACAGTGAGTTCCTGGGATGGTGTCCTGCTCCTCCTTGTCTGGCGTGATGCCACTAGTCTATCTTAAGGCCTGCTATAAGACTCTGTGCTCTGATACCTCTGTTGCTCTCTGATATCACTGCTGCTCCTCAATGCTGTTGAGGGCGTTGTTCATTGCATTACCACTCCACCCCCCCCCAACTCCGCCCCCCAAATAAAAAACAAAAAGAAAAAAACAAACCCACTGTCATCAAGTTAATTTCAACTCATAGTGACCCTTTAGGACAGTGTAGAATTGCCCCATAGGGTTTCCAAGGCTGTAAATCTTTAAGGAAGCAGATGGCCTCATCTTTCTCCCATGGAAAGGCTGGCAGATTTGAATCACTGACCTTTTGGTTAGCAGCTGAATGCTTTAACCACTATACCACCAGAGTTCCCTTCACTGCATTATCAAGTCCTCTATATAGTCCTCTATATAATATCCTTGAGAAAGATTATATCTGGGTCTAGTACCAAGAATAGTGCAAATTCCATGAGATATTGGTCCATTTTTATCTAGTGAGTTGCATAATCAACCAGAGTTTCCCTCTCACTATAACTACTAGAGTAAAACTTGTGATTCATTGATTTCATGATATACTTTTTTTTAATCTATTTTATGTCCCAATTAATCTACTTTGGAAATTTTAGTTTCTCCTAATCCTAAGGGATGCATTTCCTGGAAGATCCATGCTAAATCATTTGGGAAAATGGGCTGTATATGATGAGATTGCTCCTGTTGGCCTCTCTTACAGCCTGCAGTGTTGTGCCTTGTATATAGGATCCTCCCTAACTATGTCAGCCCTGAACTGACAGGGCTTGCATCACATCACTGAAATTCTGGTCTGCCTTCTCTGGACACACTCCAGTTTGTCAAGGCCCGGAGCTGGTGCATAATCCAGTGGCCGTTTCTGACTCTCTTCTTCCCTGAGTAGCAGTTTTTGAGCGTGCTAGTATTACTCAGACTGTTGTTGTTAGCTACCATCAAGTTGGCTGGGACTCACGGTGACCCCATGTACGACAAAATGAATTGTTGCCTAGTCCTGTGCCATTTTCACAATCGTTGCTACACTTGAGTCTGCTGTTGTGGTCACTGTGTGTTTTGAGTGCCTTCTCCCCAAGGGGCTCATCTTCCAGCACTGTATGTTCCATACATATGTCCATATGTATGTCCATAGGGTTTTCATTGGCTCATTTTTGGAAGGAGATCTCTTCCTAGTCTATCTTTGTCCGTCAGTTTCTCATATTGTGGTGGCTTGCATGTTGCTATGATGCTGGAAGTTACGCCAACAGTGTTTCAAATACCAGCAGGGTTGCCCATGGTGAGCAGGTTTCAGTGGAGCTTCCAGACTAAGACAGAGTCACTTGGAGCATTTGTTAAAAAATGCAGATTCCCGAGTTCACCCTGCACTCAGTGAATCTGAATCATCTCGGGGGGTGAGACCCAGGAGGCAGGCATTTAAAATAACTTCCCTGGTGATTCTAACACATGACAATATTTGGGAAACTTTTTCTCAATTAAACATTTCAAATTGATGTGGATAGAACAAATGACTGTTTTAGACTCATCTGGTCTTGAAAAGCCTTTCAAATCATATTTTCTTGTGTTGAAATTCAACCCATTATTGTCAGACTGTGTGTTTGCCCCCCACTTTGGCTTTGAGACATTGGTGTATGTGTGTGTGTGGTGTACCTTGCACTGTTGGGGCCCAGGAAGAGTGAATTATGTTTTATTGCTTGTGAGATACCTAGGATTGTGTGCAACAGCCTCTGTCCTACTGGATTTACTCCTCCCAGTAATAGTAACTGTATTTTGATCATGAAGGGGATGATAATGATGATAGCAAGGTCTGGTGGGGAAACTGACACCCGGTGCTCAGAAGTCAGGAGTTCATACCCTGACATGTCCTCTTCCCCTGCAGGCATCTGAGCCCACATACAGCTGAAGACTACTACGAGGGAGACCTGAAGAGTGAGTGCTCTGCAGTCAGTTCATCTTGGGTTCGAGTCCTGCCCCTCCACTTCCTGGCTATAAGCTCTCAATACCAATAGAAGCTGGGATGGATGATACACAGTGCCGACTAGGGGCCAGGTACTTGTTTTACAAGTTTATATGTGTATACCTGCAGTCAAGTCTCAACAACTCAATGAGGTCGATCTATTAGTACTATCCAAGATTCAGAGATGGTAAGAAACTTGCCTAATAGCCTACAGCCACAGAGTGGCAGAGACAGGATGAAAACCCAGGCTGCCTGATTCCAGAGCCCTGCTCTCAACCCCATTGGGCTCTTCCACATTTCCCCTCTTTGAGACTCATACCTCCTTCTGCTTGGTTAAGTGGTTCTCTAGATCTTGCACCTTTTTCTTTTCCTTCTCGATGGCCTCCTTTGCTTTGTTTTTCTCATAGGCAATGCTGGTCTCTGCAATCTGGAAGTCAATAAGTGGTTTGAGGGTGTGGGCACGAAAAAGGAACAGAAATGACACCATAAAGGGAAGCCAGGATTAGTAAGCGTTGAAACCAGTGAACTAGGGTTTGGGAGCAAGAGCGTAAGGAACAAGACACCCGTTCGGGAGAGACGTGAGATTCTCAGCATGCTTGCCATGGCAGAGAACTCGGAAGTCATAGCTTGATTAGTCATGTACATGGAAGAGAGAGTTATTCATCGCTCTGGATTTCTGGGCTGATGTTCAGAAAGTGACTTGCTGGTGAGTGCTGAAGTCAAGTTGAAGTTGGAAGCTCTGAGCTTCCGACTGACTTGGCATGTGCTGGCAGCCAAGGGGCCTTTGTTGGGAAACACCTGGCTCCCCGGGAGGTAGGGCAGAAGAGCTGGGGAGATACCTCCTGTCTCAGTAGGCCTGGTACCAGTGACTTCAAAGAAGGACACAGATCTTCCAAGTCTACAAAAAGCTTGGGCTTCAAAAATTCATGCTCAGCACAGTTTGGACCTGGGAACACATACTCTATAGACCTGGTGACAGGGATGGGGTTGGAGTCTTGACTCACCCGTCAAAGCCTGGGGTGTGTGTGGGGAGGCAAGTGGCCACAGTTGCACCCAGTCCCTTCACTAAAACACAATGGGGTTAAAAAATATCTGCAGCTGTGGAATCTCTTGCAATGATATTCTCCATGCACAAAATTAAAGTTCAAAAGAAAAATACATTAAAAATATATTTATTAGTGGTGATGATTGCACAACACGATTAATGTAATTTGTGTCACTGACTTGCACATGTGAAAAATGTTGAATTGGCAAATGCATGGTTTATATATATGACAAGAAATTGGAGAGATATATACTGAAATGTAAATTGTGCTTATCTGGAGGGAGTTTGCATTATAGCAATTTATATTTTGTTCTTTTCATGGGTCTGTAACTTCTACATTTTCTTTAGTGAATATGAATTTTTGCCCCCCCCCAAAAAAAACCAAAACCAAAACCAAACCAACAGCCACTGAGTTCATT